CACCCTCCACCTATTAGCGAGTCTTACTGCATCCATCACTTCAGACGAGAGCTCAAAGCAACTGATATGCAGCCAAAAATAACATTTTTCTTCAATAAACGTCCATGAAACATCAGCTTCTCTGGTTCTTAAGCAATCATCTTTACCCACAGTTCAGCGCTGAGGTCATGCGTCACGACTGCGCGGGTAATGGCTCCCATGCCTTCGGGATTTACTGGGAATTCTCTGGCGTAAATCAGAACGCCTCAATCATCCGATAAGAGCACTGATGAGCTCCCACTACTTCCAGATCGGCTTTGGACGCGTCCGGGATCTTGTATGTCAGGCCCGCAGGCACTGCCGTGTGCTCTGAGAGCCAATCAGCTTCCAGCATCACAAACGAGGAGCACAACATGAGCACGAGTGTGTGTGTGTGTGTGTGTATTAAAGGCTCATGTTCAACATCCTGTTGTGTGGCGCTGCCTTCAGCAGGCTGATCTGTTCTCTCTCCCTTTAAGAGCTCTATTAAGGGAACTTTATGGTTTTAAGAGGCCGTGTGTGAGATAACGCTCAGAAACACACACAAACATAGCGTCCAGACCACCTGCGGCCCCGCGCTCTCTTCCCAACATGGCTCGGGCCCAGTGCTCCGGCTCCGCTATCATAAACACACGCGGCACTTCAAAGCTTCGCAGCCATTGAAGACGCAGCCGTACGGGGCACGAGCGCTTTGATGTAGCAGAGACTGAGGGAGCGAGGACACTGTCAGAGCGACATTTCTCCCACACCTGGAAGGGGAAGACGGCCCTGAAAAAAGCACAAGAAGAGCACAACCTCCCGGAGCACTGCCTCATCACAAGGTGGGGTTCAAGGCAGAAAATGATCCAGAGTTCTAGAGCAGCAGCGGCCATAAGCGGCGTCCTGTCAGCAGACAGAAAGTCAAGACATTTAGTCCCTTCTTGGCAGGACCTAGATGTACTTGAGTCCATAAACCAGGCACTGCAGCCTCTGCAAGAATTTACAGATGCTCTGTCGGGTGAAAGTTATGCAAGTGTTTCATATGTGAAACCTGTACTTCACTTGACGAACACCTCAATTCTTGCTGCAAAGGAAGAAGACAGTGATTTAACAAAGTCCATAAAGATGAAGATTCTAGAGTACATGAACACTAAGTATGACAACCCAGCAACTCAAGAAATTCTGGACATGACCTGCTTTATGGACCCCAGATTCAAAGCCGACTACATCAGCTCTGACATGTCTCATGTCTGAAATGGAAGCAACTGTGCCAAAGGTAAATGTTAATATGACAATAGTAAGTGACAAAATAATGCACTATAACTAGATTTGATTACAATATTTACTTTATTTCTCTATTTTAGGAGTAAAGCCTGAGTGAT